GAGAGGGCTCAGCATTTCCATAGCAGGGCTGGCTTGGCCGAAAGCAGCCCAGTGCGGCTTGAGCATTCAGCCTGCTGTGGGATTTGCCCAGATGTATGGCAAACCTGTAGAGCCCTCCCGACCCCAACCCTGTGTGAGGTTCAACATACACAGATGAATCCACTCCAGTCTTGGTACTCACAAGTTTTACCGTTCAAGGGGTTGGGAGTTGCCAGGTAGCTATACCTAGGATTCAGTGGGACTGGTGATGTATGAGAGAGTGGGTGGGCCCAGGGAGGCTTGAGGGATGAGGAAGCTGGGCTTGGCTGGGTGCTAATACTCTCTGCCGCCCTACCCAGGAGTCAAACAGGTTGGGAGTGGAGGTGGAGGCTTTTGGTTGTAGCTCCCTCACCAGCTGGACTTCCGCCAACCAAGCTGGCGTAGAGGAAGTATTGACAACCAGATAGCATAGCTGATTATGCCCTGGGGATATGCGAGGGAACCCTCACTTCCTAGTTCCCCAGGTGACTGTCCCAGGGCTGCTGCAAGCTGCTGAATTTTAGGGCCCAGATTCTGGCCAGGAGGTGGACGCTAGGGACCATGAACTGTGTGATCTAACTCATTCCATTTTAGAGATGGGGAAACTGAACCCCGGGGAAGGAAGTTGACACGGGAGTTGGGGCACAGAAGGCCTGCTACTGCCCCTGCCTGTTCTTTAGGAAGCCTGCTCCTGTGGCCGTGGTGTTACATGCCTGTGATTCATCACTCAGGAGGGCCACAGCAGAACTGCAAGTTTGAGGCCATCCTGGGCTGCATGAGACTCAACACCACCAAAACTAATCAATAGAAAACAAAACACAAATGAAGCTCTACCTGGCCTACCCTCTGAATGACAGCAGAGGGGAGGGACTTGGAGACCAGGACTAGGGCAGGTTTAAGTCCACACTCGGAGAGGCCTTGGAGCGACATCAGAATGGGGTGAAGATGATGAACACCCAGGATTCTGTGCCTGGGCAGTGGTCAGAAGGGTGAAAGCTTCAAGGGTTCTTCAGGCTTCATTCTTACTGCTCTCCCCAGAAAGGAAGGAGCCCTAAGGGCCTGACTTCATTTTCCTTTCTCAGCAACTCTGCCTAATGCCTTTCCCCTTTACCAGCCAGGCCCTATCAGAGCTCTGGGGACCCAGACCTGGAGCAGAACTGGCCTGGCCTCAGGTGACAATCAACTTGAACTGTGTAGTTTGCATGTGCGGGGAGTGTCAGACAGAAAAGCTCCCTGGGGTGACAAGAAAGCTGGTGGCTTCAGGCTAGGGTGGTCCCCAGGGAAGATTGTGTCTCTGCTGTAGCCTGTGCTGCCCTCTGCACTGGGGAAGTATCAAAGCAGGGAGTGGCCTCCGAGGAGCAATCACTGTCTCCTAGGTCCCTTGGTTCCCCTTGGAACCTGGACTTGAGACAACCAGCAGTCATGTGGGAGTGGATCTGAGCTACGTGGTGCTGCCGCCCTCCCCAGTCTTTCCTGGATCTGCGGTTCCTCCCGCAGAAGTGCAGCTGGTCGTCCCTGGACTGCATTCCTGCTGGACTGGCAGAGCAGGCAGCAGGTGGTTGGCCAAGTGAGGCAGGAGGAGGACAGAATGGGTTCTGGCCTGCTTGGGTATGGACTTGGGGATTCTCCCAGGCCCTTGGTTTTGTCTGTATGATAGGATGAATATTGGGGGGAAATGGGGTATTACTCTCTAACCCTATCTTCTTGTAAGTTAATAAGATGGGGGGGGGGGGCTTGGGTTATTTTTGAGAAAAAAGTGCTTAGGTTTTTCTCAGTTTGGAGTGAGGCATATGACCAGTAAGGAGTTTCTGCATGCCTTCCTGAAGACCGTACCGGTTATAGTTGGCTGTGCTGACTGAAAAGCACAATCTGCCAGCATAGGACAAGGGGTTCAGGCCTTGGCTTGGGCCTCACTTCCCAGCAGGCTCCAGGTGCCTCTCTGTGTCCTGTGTGCCTTTCCTTAAACACTCCTCCAAACTGCAGCCTGAGGTTCTGCCTCCCATAGCGGTGGGACTCCTAACAGAGAAGCCAGCTAGTGTCCACACTCATTTCCTGCCCAGCAGAAGGCTTTACCAGTGGAGCAACTAGTCTTCCCTGTGGAGCACCTAGCCTTCCCTGTGGAGCACAAAGCCTGCCAGTGAGCACCTAGTCTTCCCTGTGGAGCACATAGCCTGCCCAGTGAGCACCTAGTCTTCCCAGTGGAGCAACTAGTCTTCCCTGTGGAGCACCTAGCCTTCCCTGTGGAGCACAAAGCCTGCCAGTGAGCACCTAGTCTTCCCTGTGGAACACCTAGCCTGCCCAGTGGGCACCTAGCCTGCCAGTGGAACACCTAGCCTGCCCAGTGAGCACCTAGTCTTCCCTGTGGAGCACATAGCCTGCCCAGTGGAGCACCTAGCCTGCCCAGTGGAGCACCTAGCCTGCCCAGTGGAGCACCTAGCCTGCCCAGTGAGCACCTAGTCTTCCCTGTGGAGCACCTAGCCTGCCCAGTGAGCACCTAGTCTTCCCTGTGGAGCACATAGCCTGCCCAGTGGAGCACCTAGCCTGCCCAGTGGGCACCTAGCCTGCCCAGTGGAGCACCTAGCCTGCCCAGTGGAGCACCTAGCCTGCCCAGTGGAGCACCTAGCCTGCCCAGTGGAGGACCTAGCCTGCTCAGTGGAGGACCTAGCCTGCCCAGTGGAGCACCTAGCCTGCCCAGTGGAGCACCTAGCCTGCCCAGTGGGCACCTAGCCTGCCCAGTGGAGCACCTAGCCTGCCCAGTGGAGCACCTAGCCTGCCCAGTGGAGCACCTATGTTTAGCCCTCGTGGTCATTGTTGCTGACAGTGGTGTAGCCAAACAGCCTTAAGTCAGGAGTCTAGGCTGTATCTTAGAGGTTCAGTTGTGACATATGTATTTGTCTGGACTCAGCTGGTGGACATGCGCACCAGGCCTGAGTTTGGTCCATCCTTGAACTCCCTGCACCTAATGGTCAGAGTCCTTTGCATTTATTAGGTGCTGTGTCAAAAGAGGAGGAGTCCCGAGCAGAAGCAGGAATCTTGGCTTTTGTTTGTTTCTTTTTTTTTTTTTCCCCCAAGACAGGGTTTCTTATAGCTTTGGAGCCTGTCCTGGAACTTGCTCTGTAGACCAGGCTGGCCTCGAACTCGCAGAAATCCGCCGGTCTCTGCCCCCCAAGTGCTGGGATTAAAGACATGTGCCACCACCACCAGGCTGGAATACTGGGTTCTTTTTTTACCTGGTAACCTTGGTCATACTGTAACGCATGTGCCTCTAGGGCTCAGGATGAAACCTAAGGAACAAACCTAGTGGAGGAAAAGGGTCTAAGATCATAGGAGAGTTATGAAGAGAGCAATACACCAACCCTCTGGAGTGGCTGTAGGATCCAGTCTTGTTTTTGTGTCTTCATCCCACCATTCCTGTAGAGCAGTGGGTGTGATTGAGTACCCAGTATGTGATGATTGCAAGCATTGTTTCCTGTGCATGCTACTCCCTGGGGTCACATAGTGAGGGGAATCAAGAGGGCAGTGCCAAGCCCTCTCCTGGTTTATTAGATCAGAGAGGTGAAAGGACTGGTTTGTCCCCCTTGAAGTCTGCCAGAGGATGTATATCCCTTTCTGAACTAGACTGTGACCTTGCTGCCGCCAACTTTGACAGACAGCCCAGGCTCAAATGTGACCCCCTAGACTCCTTTCTCTCTTCTCCTAGCTTGTAAGCCGGGGTGAATGGTCAGGAGACCCTCAAGGTCAAGACTGAGGGAGTCTTCTGTTCCGGGCCTCCATCAGTGGGTGGTAGGAAGGAATGTTGGGGTGGCACACAATAGGAGCTCAGAGATGTGCTGAACACGGACATGGTTGGGCTCGGCAGAGCTGGGGTGTGAAGTGGCCTCTGCTTTTTAGTGTAAGGCTGAAATGAGTGGTCTGGGGTCTCACCCTGTGCTCTTCCCTACTGCCAGCTCCCTTGTAGGCACCAGGCCTCAAGGTCACACTGTCAGCTATTAGAGTCCTGGGGGCATCCTGGGGGCATGGCCAGAGCCAACTTGTTGAGCACATTTTGTTCTCATTTCCGGTCTTGGCACTTGCTTAGCAGCAAACATACATACCTCAGGTGCCTCCCCGTGTCCTGTGGACCTTTCCCTAAACACTGTTCCAACCACTAGCTTGGGGTCCTATCAGCAGTGCTGGGGTACATAACCCCCACTTTAGGAGAAGTAAGATGCCCCTGGGTCCTCCCTCAGCCCCAAGCTTGGCGCTACAGTGAAGGTGAATCTGTTTTCAGTGGACTTGGTATGAGCCTGGTGGTTGGAGGGCGAAGGAGATTCATGGAAAGAGGTGTCCAGGAGAAAGGGAGTGGGGCAGGGATTGGGAGGCTCAAAGGGCACTTGGACAAAAATCAAAACAGAACATTGCAAATGGGATGTTAAACTTCTGTCCTTGGCCTCATAGACACAGGTAGCAAAGATTAAATATTTGTCCTAGATCAGATAAAGGAAGACATGTATTTGAGCACTGGAGATGGAAGAAAACTGGCCTCCCAGGACTAGCTCTGAGATTCCCCACTGTCATGTTGCCTTGTCTTTTTTTTTTCCTTTTTTTTTTCTTGTTTTTTCAAGACAGGGTTTCTTTGTGGCTTTGAAGCCTGTCATGGAACCAGCTCTTGTAGACCAGGTTGGCCTCGAACTCACAGAGATCTGCCTGCCTCTGCCTCCTGAGTGCTGGGATTAAAGGTGTGCGCCACCACCGCTTGGCCGTTACCTTGTCTTATATGTAGAAATGGTGATACAGGAAAACCGTAGTTTTATGGCTCTTATGCTGTAAAGCAGCTTTAGGAAGAATTAGGCGGCAGAGTGGGGGTTTAGTTATTTCCGAGTCTGTGGCCCTCGTTCACCTGTCTAGGAAGGCTCCTGGGGGAGGCTGGTTGTGTTGGGGTGTCTGGAGGACACTGGAGGACAGGTTTATAGTATATTATAGACCGACATCTTCTTCTGCAGGCACTGGCTCCAGCATCCTCTCGGCCCTCCAAGACATCTTTTCTGTCTCCTGGCTCAACAGGTCCAAGGTGGAAAAACAGCTCCAGGTCATCTCAGTCCTACAGTGGGTCCTGTCCTTCCTGGTGCTAGGTAAGCATAGCTGTGGCAGGGGTGAGTGGAGGTGGGGTGACACAGTCCCATGGGGATCAGCTTCTCCCCAGCCTCTTTCCATTTACTTCCATCTTTGGGGCCCGTGGTCAAGTATTCTACCAGTAGGCATGCCAGAAACCTTGATGGATTCATGGGCGATGTTTTATGGCTTCATTTTGCAGATTAACTTGCCCAAAGTTAACTTGAATCTGGGTCTATAGGATGCATGCTTCTAACTGCCTCCTTGTCTACCGGCAAAGAGCAGGCAGGTGTCTACTTGGCTGAAGTCAGGTTTGAGACCAACTCCAGACAAGCTCTGACTTTCTGACTTTACATAGACACTGCTCTCTTGGAACCTTCTCTTCCTTCCCAGGCCTTATAACCTCAGCACAGGTTAGTCTCTGAGCACATGAACACAGACAGAATCCATGTGTCCAGACTTGTGGTCAGGGCCCCAGCCACTCACTCTTCACACTGCCCAGGACAGTGGGAGCTCAGCAGACATCCACTTGGTAGTGTGAGGAGACAACTGTCTTTGAGGCAGGCATAGAGCCTCTGAGGCCCTATTGAGAACAAAAGGAACAAATCCCATGGTATGTTGAGGCTCTTGGAGTGTCTTTTCTTAAATTCAAGGAAGAGGAAGTGGAAATTCAGAGGTTCAGTGCTGACCATGGCACCCATTAAACAGAAAGTCAGAGTTTGAGTCAAAGCCCAGTGCATTCCCTTACCGTGAGGGTCCCGAATTAATGGACAGAGTCCAAGGTGGGCTTTGGGGGATTCATTGAACTCTTAAAATTAAATGCAAGGCCATGCATACATTTTCATTGCTATAAGGCTGTAGCTATCCTCAGATTCTTACAGGGTCATACAGCCTCAGAAAGATGATGAAATAATGGTTTGGGGACAGATAGTTAAATTGGCTCCCTTAGATCTCCAACCCTGAGTGTGGCTTGCATTTGGTCTCTTATTAGAATACCAGGGTAGAGAAGCTATGTAACCTTATATTTGTTCAGTCGGGAAGCAAGGACCTAGTGGGGACAGGGCCTTGTCTGGGGTTATAGGAGAAGAAAATAAGAGGGACCAAGATAAGAATGCAGCGACCCCCAGCCTCTTGGTCCTCTGTCTAGCCTGTTTTGCTAGCTCCTATTGTCGCTATCTGCACCAGAAGTCAATACTTAGCTTGCCTTAGTGGGTCAGAGCTTGGCTGTGGGGCACTGAGTAACTTGTGCAATCCTAGGCCATATAGCATGTGACAGGGCTGGCCCCAAGCTGTAGGTTAATGATCTCTGAGGCCCAGCCACAGCCCAGAAACTGGCCCAGCGTGTCTTTCCAACATGTAGGTGGGAGCTAGACCTGGGCAGGAATCAGCCCTGCTTAAGCTGTTGTAATTACTACATGAGCAGTCCCAGCCGCTCCCTCTCCCTGTGTCCCAAACCTGCTGGCACAGGCTTACTCTGTATCGCAAAGATTGCTATGGATACCATTCACATTAAACAGTTTTTTGTTTTGTTTTTCTGATGTGCCTTGTAGCCCTCTAGAATTCTGGTGAAAGCTGTGGGCCTTCTTGGTGCTTTTAATCGTATAATATGAAGTGCGCTGGGGTTTTTAAGGATCTATCTAGTAATGCTGGAATATAAATATGTAACCTTTGAAACCCAGTTGGACACTTAGTAATGTTTGCTTTTTTATTATGTTGTTTAGTTAGGAAGTATCAGCAACTGTAATAAATATTAACCTTAAGTAATGAAGTAATTAATCTTAAGTAATGAAGATTGCGAGGCTGCAGTAATGCAGTATGAAAACACCTTTGCCATCTCTTGCTACCATGTCAGCAGGCTTTGCTAATATTCCCGTGGTTTGTCCCTCAATGAAGGAAATGCTGAATCTCCACATGGTTCTAGTAGAAAATTTGAATGTCACTTTGCTCCTCCATACAAGTCCATAGACCCTTAACAGTGTTCCCGAACATGTGTTAAATTCCAACATCACGTCATTTTATCTTCCCAATACTCCGTAAGAAAGTAAAGGCTTGGGTATGCATAATGGCCAGGACCTGGCAGGGCCCGTCCCCGAGTCTGCTTCGTCCTGTCCCTGCTCTCCACAGCCCCGCTGCTGTGGCTCCTACTGAAGAATGCCCACACCTTTTTCCCCTGTACCACCAGCCTGGGGCCAGAGCTCTGCAGTTGTGAGCTGCTTGTGGCCCCAGGAACAGGAAGGGATGCATGCAGGTAGTCCCGAGCGTTCTCTGCATGGAGCAAGCAGGCTGTTTCAATCACTGTGCTTGCATGTCCTGGGCCCAGTGGCATTGGTGGGTGCCAACCTCATTACCTGAGAATGGAGGGCAGGGAGCTGTTGTAGGTTTCCCAGAAGGAAGGCATTTTATGGGGTGGTTGTCCTGCCCAACCCTCCAAGAGGTTTTTTGATACAGGGGCTCACTATGTAGCCCTGGTTGGCCTGTGCCTGTATGTATGTAGACCAGGCTGGCCTCCCGTCACAGAGATCCACCTGCCTCTGCCTCCAGAGTGCTATGTGCTACCACACCCAGCAGGCAGCTCTGTTTTTTGTTCGTTTGTTGTTTTGTTTTTTGTTTCTTTGACTTACGTAAAAAAAAAAAACAAAACCTTTCTATATTGGTGGCTGGGGCTGGAGAGTAATCTCACCTTGTTCTAGCTCCAAAGGTGCTCAGGGACTCAGGGACTGAGCTCTGTTGGACAGGAGAGACGGAGAGACGGTGGTGAGAGGAAATGCACATTTGAGAGGACAGAGGCAGCCCCCAGCTGTGTAGGGCCAGGACTTTGGGCTTCTGTCACTCACTGCTTTGTCTTAGCTATGCAGACAGGGCAGGTACGCATGGATACTCCTCCCCATGGTGACCAGCCTCCCAGCACTGGGGTTTGGGCTCCCTGATGGCAGCAAGTTCTTTAGAATATTCACACGTCACCCCTCCTGAAGGCCATGGGCCTTGCCTGGCCTACCTGGAATGCAGTGAATCTTTGCTTGGACACTGTGGAGGCTGGGGCTGGAATTGTCTTCTAGGACCAGGGAAGGGCCTGGGGCAAACTATTGGAGCTGTGCACTGTATACATCCTAAATATGATCAGGACTGTTTTTCCAGCTGCTTAGGGACCCACATTATCTTCAGCAGGGTGTGTGGGGTGCAGATGCTCCCCAAGACTCAACTCCGGTGTATGTACCACTGCTAAGTTGTCTTAGGAAACTGCTTGCTGTTGTCTGGCAACTGTAGCTGGGTTTTAGCTGTCCCAAGGGAAGGCCAGTTCAGAAGTGAGGCTGGGCTGAGGATGGCGAGGGCCACAGTTTCCTTGCTCTCAAGTCCATGGAGATCTGAAACAGGCTAAGCACTGTGTTTGGAAAGTTCTGTGGAGCCTGAGTCCCTGCCCCCTCCCCAGTTGGGTCTAATGCCAGGGTGAAGAGATGAGTCCTTCAGTGTGGAGAATTCGGATTGTGTGGTCGGGTGATTTGATACTCAGAAACCTGTGGAGGGGACAAGGATCTGAGGGGGCTGGAAGGCTGGATGAAAATTGGAAAGAGATGCCCTGATGAGCGTATCTAGGGGTGGACCATGAGATGCTGGCTCTCCTTACCCCTGGGGCTGGGCCATTCAGCCTTATGGTCAGCCAGCTGGCCCCAAGGACAGTTACCACAAATAGGTGTCCCAGGAGAGTCTTTCTAAGTGTTTGAGGGGGGGGGGGGCTGCTGGGTCCTGTCTCTGCTCCAGGGCTGCCTGGGGACATCCTGTGACAGATAACCCCCTTTTACCCCACCCTAACCCCACGGTGACAATCTGAGATTTCTCACCTCTGGTGATCTTGCTTCCAAGGCTGAGTTTGAACCCTGCCTCTCCTCTGTCCTGCTGGGTTAGCTTGGGCAAGTCAGTCCTGACAAGTAAGTTTTCTAAAACAGAAAAGTCAATGCTTTAATGACTCAAGGGGATCAGGCAAGAGGAGACATCAGGAATTGTTTCACAAGAAGCGGAAATCTCCCCATGTTAGCCAGCTCAAGCTCAGGTGTCCCGAGCTCTAGGACCCACCTGTGCCCGTTGGCCCTGCTTCTCCTCCTTGAGCCACCCATGAACCTCTCCCAGTGCCTGGGCATCTGGACCTCTGCCTAGGTTAGTGCTATGGAAGCCATGCCTCAGCCGGGAGGACTGGGAGCCTGACCTGTTGTCTCACCTCCCCCTAGGAGTGGCTTGCAGTGTTATTCTCATGTACACCTTCTGCACCGACTGCTGGCTGTTGGCTGTGCTCTACTTCACCTGGCTGGCCTTTGACTGGAACACGCCCAAGAAAGGTAAAGGTCTGGGTCTGCTGCTTGTTTTCCTCCCTCTGCTGGGCTGCAGCCCCTCCTCCTGGGTGCTGGGCTGGGCGCCATTTCGGGCATCTTCACAGGAGCTCACCCTTCATTAGGGAGGGCAGAGGGAATGTATGTGGGAAGGGGCACACTGGGCAGGTGCAGAAATGCCGTGTGGGCTGACAGACACCTCCCTGGGGGGTTCACACTGGCTGTGTCTCGCCTGCATTGTTCAAATGTCCCTCCCACCTGCTCCTTCCCAACACTGTGCTTTGTTTCCTGGAAGGTGGCAGGAGATCACAGTGGGTGCGGAACTGGGCCGTGTGGCGCTATTTCCGAGACTACTTTCCCATCCAGGTAAAGACCGTGGTGTGCTGTCCTGGGAGGACAGGAGTAGATGGGAATATGAACTGTGACAGCACTGAAAACGGAGGCAGTGTGTCCGTGCGTGACGGAGGCTGGTGTGCTTGATGTTGTGAGTCAGTCCTTGACACCAGGCGAGCTGCCTGGGTGGTCAGGTGGCCCCGCATTCCTCCCCTGCCCTGTGTTGTGGGAGTGGCCTAGGCTGTGCACAAACTCTGCCTACTGCCGGCATTCCTATGACTTTCCTGTCCCCTGCAGTTAGGCTTTCCTCCCCAGAGGGCCAAAGTCTTGCTCGAGATGGCCAGCGAGCCCATGGCAGCAGTGCAGGCCCTCTGACATGCAGCCCAGGGTCCTCCCCGATTCCTGACTGCCCATTCCTTGGGGAGGGACTTGGCCCCAGATCTCTCTTCTCGAACCTGCTTGACTGTTGGAACCAGGGTTTAAGAGCTGGCTCGGGGGTCTGTCTAGTGCTGGGCTCTTGGCTAGGGCGTGGGTGACGGAGCGTTAGCCCTGGGCTTACGGTCAGCCTAACGAATCGACTGTATTCCGTCTCACTCTGTGTAGCTCTCTCAGCTCTACCGAGCACCATTTGTCTCCGCTGCAAATGGGAGATGCTCCTGGGTCTGCCTGGCTCTGTCTGTCTGCCCCAGGTACTGTGTCTTCTGCCACTGTGCCCTCAGGAAGCCTCCTGCAGGCTAGTAGCTCCCCTCTCCCAGCAAGGGATGGCTGCTGAGATCTAAGCATTCAGCTGTTTTACCGATCTTTACCCTTTCAAAAGACCCAAATGATGGACTGGAGAGATGGCTCAGTGGTTAAGGTGTCTGGCTGCTCTTCCAGAGAACCTAGGTTCAAATCCCTGCACCTACATGGCAGCTAATAACTGTCTGTAACTCCAGTTCCAGAGGATCCAGTGTCTTCTTCTGGCCTTTGAGAGCACTGCACATACATGGTGCACAGACATACATGTGGGTAAAACACCCATACATGTAAAATGAAAATAAATCTAGTGGGCTGTGGTGGCACATACCTTTAATCTTAGGCAAAGGCAGCTGCATTTCTGTAGGTTTAAGGTCAACCTGGCCTACATAGCAAAGTTCCAGGCTACATACATAGTTCCAGAGCTATATAACTCTGCTCAAATAAATAAGTAAATAAACCTTTAAATTAAAAAACAAAAAAACCAGCCGAGCCCTGTGTTCTCACTGTCTCTGTTCTGTTGAGGTGCAGGGCAGACATCTGTGAGATGCCCAGTGAGGTTCCTCTGCCCCTTGCCCTTGATGACAGGTCTAATAATCTGTGCCTGAGAGCTGTGTAACCTGCCTGCTCCACCCCTTTTTCCTGAGGTTCTACCGTGGGTTATGTCATCGAGATCTCTAGCCAGACCCGTGTACCCTGTCTCCATTTCTCTTACTGGAGCTCCCTTCTCCAAAGTCATCTAGCTGACCCAAAGGGCATCCCTTTTTGGAGTGGTAGGGCTGGCTCCTTCAGCAGCTACTGGAACTACGGTCGTCTGTAACAGAAGTGGCCCACGTCCTGGGGTTCCTCTCCCTGAAGGGTAGGCAAGACCTTTGGAGATTAGGAAAGGCTCCCTGGGCTTCAAATCGGCCATCTTTCCAACTGTCTGATTTCATCGATGTGTAGACTGAGGCCCAGAGAAGATGGACTGTCCCTGGTTCACAAGACACTGTGCTGCCATGCCCTGCCTAGGCAAGCTACTGCTGTTCTTTGGAACTGGGTGTGTTTCTCTGTACGGGGCTAGGAGTAGAATAAGCCTGGCCTGGGAGCAGGATGTTGGGAGTGACCTGCCAGGAATCTGCCCAGGGTGACGCTCACCAGCATGGCCTGAACACCTCTGGGCTGGGACTTTGCCACCCAGCAGGCATGTCAACAGAACAGTCAGCAGCAGTGACCTTCGCCCTCCCTGCAGAGTGGACATTCTGTCCAGTTGGGAAGAGCAGTGTCGTGAAGACAGATCAAAGCTATTGCCAATGTCTCTGTTGGTACTGCCCGGGGCCATTAACCTGTACAGTGTCCCAAGGACATTATAAACCACGCGTCCCATCAGATAAGAGCCTTCGGGAGGGAGGGAATTATTAAAGAGCCAGTTAGGTTCCTAAGAAGTGAGTGTTCAGGGAGAAGTGAAACCGGAGTGGCCTTGAGCAGCGATGGAGCTGGCTCACTGTGACTTCCCCAGAAACAACCTAGATAGTCAGGGGGCTCCCGTCCAGTCTGTACTTTTGCTCCAGAGAGTTTCTAACCCAGTGCCAGTTGCCCAGCTCCTCCCTCAGTGCCTTGATTCACCAAGAGCCAGCGGGGCAGACAGAGCACAGCTGCAGCCTTGCATGGTTCATGCGCCCTGCTCCTCGGGGGTCTCTCACTCTCCACCTCGGCCCTGGTGGGGCAGCTGAGAGTTGTTTTCCAGACAGCATTAACCTGCTTGCCAAAGGCAAAGTGAGGAAAGTACAAGTGCCTTATACACCAGGGGGGTGACACCAGGGGGGTGACACCAGGGAGGCGTGTTCACATTTCCACTACAGCCGCATAGCCTAGCACTGCCCCGCATGCCCCGTTCCGTCCTCCCGTTCTTCCATCTTACCCTGCCATCAGCAACAATCCTCTTCTCCCAACTGAGCAGAAGGACCCTTTACTCACCTAAGAGTTCCTATATTGGAGTAAAGGAAAATGTGGTCTTTTAATATTCGTCCAGTCGTTAGGGACTCTGTGCCAGTGCAGGGATGGGTACAGACACGCACTTAAGTGGGGGGGGGGGTGTGAATGCCGCTCTCGGAGGCAGGGCAGCCTCAACTCAGGAACTGCACTTCTGGAAGTTTATTTTACCAAAAAAAAAAAAAACAAAAGCTGTTGGAAATATGAGTAGAAGAGGCTTTTTTTATTAAAGCGTCACTCTAGGAGTCTGTCGGTCAGGATCCGAGTGAGCACTGTCATGTGGATTGACAGTGGCCCAGGGATGGGTGTGCAGCTTTGAGGAGAGTGGTACTGAGGATCCTGATAAGCTAGACAGGACATATTCCCTTGAGACAGCACTGATGCTGCAGCCTCATTCTTGGGGGATGTTTTGATATGATTATGATTATTGACAGGATCTCATTGTATAGCTCTGGCTTGCCTGGAACTCACTACCATAGACTAGAGTAATCTGGAATTTTATGATTTTTTTTTTTTAAAGAAAGGCCTGTTTCTGTTTAAGTAGGAAAAGGACCTAGTGGTTTATTTCTATAGAATGAAAAATGAATGCAGACTTTTTTTTTTAAACTTTCCTATACTTAAGAATTATGGCAGTGGTGGCACATGCCTTTAACCCCAGCACTTGGGAGGCAGAGGCAGGTGGATTTCTGTGAGTTTGAGGCCAGCCTGGTCCTCAGTGTGAGTTCCAGGATAGAAACCCCCCTTCTCCCTCCTTCCCAGAACTCCGTCCCCATTGTGCTTCTTGCTTGGGGTTTTGCAGGTACTTAGCCAGCCTCAGGGCAGGTGGTGGACCCTCAGGAAGCCAGTTATCAACAGGACAGCTTTGTTGACAGTAGGAAGTTCAGATCACCCAGCTGCCACAGCCACATAGCCCTGCCTGCCTGTTTGAGAACCTGAGCTGAGCCTAGCTGCTTGGCAAAAATTTTGAATTGGTCTGGCTATACCATCCTTTTGTCCACACTAGACTATAAAGAGGTGGGAGGTGGGCTGTGTGGGCTCGTCCTCTGAGCTGCTGAAGATTCTGCAGTGTGCAGTGACAATGAAAGTCTTAGTGGGAGACCTGAAGCCATGGCTCTCCTTGCCAAACTCAGAATCTAGACTGTACCCACTGAAGGCTGAAGGTCCAGCTTGGGTGTGGGTTTTAGGGGAGTCACTGTGGTAAAAAGCCTAGGAGCAGGAAGGCAGAAGTCTGGTTGAACATGAATTAATAGGTTTGAACTGTGTTTGGCTGGGAAAGAAGAAGACAAGTATCCAGCCAGGGACTCCTAGCCCATCAGCTGCCAGCCACTGGGTCTGGGGATAGACTTGGCTGCAGCCTTTTGGGCTCCTAGTACATCAGGGCGTGAAACTTCAGGTTCCTTCCCTCCTGGTGGGCATCCTCCTCTCCCAGCCGGTTCTAACACACGTTTCCTTATAGCTGGTGAAGACGCACAACCTGCTGACCACCAGGAACTATATATTTGGGTACCATCCCCATGGCATCATGGGCCTGGGTGCCTTCTGCAACTTTAGCACGGAGGCGACCGAAGTTAGCAAGAAGTTTCCTGGCATAAGGCCCTACTTGGCCACGTTGGCTGGCAACTTCCGGATGCCTGTCCTTCGGGAGTACTTGATGTCTGGAGGTGAGAGTCCACTTCAGCTGCTCCTGCTGGGCTCTGCGGTCAAGACCTGCGGCTCCCCATTGAGCAAAGCGATGGAGGGAACTGGAGTGCCCTTCCCATGAGGTGCTGGTCCCATGCAGGTAGAGACAGCCTGCAGTAGATATGCTAGGTCTGGATTCGCCGTGGATGACACCTCAAGGACCTCCTCCCACCTCTAGATACCAGCCACTGTGCTGCCGATTGTCCATGTCTGCCCACCCACGGTCCCCACCAGCTTGGCTTTCATACCATTGCCCACATTTTATCGATAAGTAAACTGAATTTAGGAGAAATGAATTGCTTAGGGAGGAAGGATCATGTATCTTCCAAGAGGGTAACAGGTCTGGGATCCGTCTATAGCGGTTTTTATTTTATCCTTGGTGGTATATAAGGGTAGGGAATGAATGCATCTGTGAGCAGGCCTGATTGTGCATTCCCCTCACCCAGGTATCTGCCCCGTCAACCGAGACACCATAGACTACTTGCTTTCAAAGAACGGGAGTGGCAATGCTATCATCATCGTGGTGGGAGGCGCAGCCGAGTCCCTGAGTTCCATGCCTGGCAAGAACGCAGTCACCCTGCGGAACCGCAAGGGCTTTGTGAAGCTGGCCCTGCGCCACGGGTAAGTGCCTGCACACGCATCTCCAGAACAATGCCCATGCCCAGATGCCCAACAACCAGAACCCAGGGAGGCAGTGAAAGAGGTTGGAGTCCACGCTGCATGGCTTCACTTGTCCAAGTATGGGCAGTGCAAAGATGTGTGTGGCCTGTCCCTGGACACTTGCAAGTCACTGAGAGGCCAGGCTTATATTTAGAACATATGAGAAAACTTACCACTTATGGGGTCAGAGATGTGAGACTCAGTGGTAGAGCAAATATTTGGTTTGTGTGAACCCTGGGTTCAGTTCTCAGCATGTGTATGCACGCGCACGGGGACACACACACACACAGCCAAAGGGAGCAAGAGACCAGGAAGGAAATGGCATCACTTGAAGCATCAGGGAAAACTTGCCTATTGGAGAGTGCTGGCAGCTTGGAATCCTGGTATTTCTAGCAAACCAGGGGACGTATCTGCTTGAGAAGCAAATCTACCTTCTAGGCTCCTTTAGACTTCCTAGCGGTGAGGAGACTTGAGTGCCCTCTTCCCACTGCAGGGGATGCTCTGGGGGCAGAACTGGAGTCTGGAGCCAAGCTGCTTTTCTCCCGCATCTCAATTCTGGGAGACCTTGGAGTACGGTCCTAGAACGATGGACTTTTGTGAGAGAGATGAACGGCAGCAACCCGGTCCAAGTCATTGAGGGCAGGGAGAGAGTTCTATCACAACCATGATTGAGTCTTGGAGCACGGCCGTGGGCAGAGCTCTGTGTCCCAGAATCTCCACGGGGTTCAGGAGAGGCTTTTCTTCTACAGTCTGCTGTCAAGTCAGGAGGGGCAGGGCAGATAGTGTGCTCGGCTGTGAGATGAGCTGAATCCGGCTGAGGGATTGGGTTCCGCTGGACAGACAAACAGCAGGGCCAGGCCCAGTGACTGGGGTCTGGCTAATCTGGGCCTCTCTCTTCCAGAGCCGATCTGGTTCCCACCTATTCCTTTGGAGAGAATGAGGTGTACAAGCAGGTGATCTTTGAGGAAGGCTCCTGGGGCCGCTGGGTCCAGAAGAAGTTCCAGAAGTATATTGGTTTCGCCCCGTGCATCTTCCATGGCCGAGGCCTCTTCTCCTCTGACACCTGGGGGCTGGTGCCCTACTCCAAGCCTATCACCACTGTTGGTGAGTCCCTAGCCTGCATGGTCACCTGGCTCAGACGAGACCTTGTCCTAAGGATCTGGAGTACTTGGGTACTGTCCTTGGGTACTGGAGGGAGTGATGAGGGGGGTGGAGGTCGAGCTATTGCGATGAGCCATGCAGTGGTGAATACAAACCTGTTAGGAGAATGTTGCCGTGGAGACTGCGTGGCTGTAACAAGGGTGCTGTAGGGATTATGTGCTCCTCTGCTCTTCAGAGAGGGCCTGCGCAGGAGACAGCTCTTAGACTGCTGGCTGATGGGAATTCTCAGCAGCAAAGGGGAGGAAGAGCCAGGAATAGTCACACAAACCTATAATCCCAATGTGGAAGGCAGAGACAGGAGGATTGCTGCAAGTTTGAGGCCAGTTGGTCTATACAGCCAGTTCCAGGCCAGCTAGGGCTACATAGCGAGACCCTGTTTCAAAATAAAAGTCTTGTTCAGGCAGCCATATTGTTGAAGTATCATGGTTGTAGCTTCTCTGTCGTTTTCAAGAGACAGAATCCCTCAGCAGACTCCTGATCCTCTGACTTGTACAGTCTTACAGCCTATCTCTTCTGAGATGTTCCCTGAGCCTTAGGCATGGGGGTTATGTTGTAGATGTGTTAGTCAGGGCTGAGCGTCCCAGGATCAAATTTCTACCGGTTGTGGCTTTCTGCAATCATCTCTGCCTGCTTCTAAGAGTTTTTTTTTTTTTTTTTTTTTTTTTGATGAGGAATGAGAACTACGTTTATGTATAAACTTAAATGATCCCTGGGGCACCTAGGTAGGGGGAAGGTAAAGGGTTAGAACGGACCAAGTGCAGGAGGCCAGACTGGAGGCTTTCAGTACCCTGGACTGGAAGGGTGGCAGTGGAGCTGGGTGTGTGTGTCTGGCAGAAAGCTCAGAACAGTGCTGGTGGGACTGTGGTATGGGCTGGCCTTGAACATGAAGCAGGATGAGAAAATAAAGCAAAGTACAGATGTAGGAGGGTGTTCTCCCCTCTACACGCCTTTACAAGCTGCTCATGCATGTTCTGATCTTCCTAGAATCCTTAGAAAAGGTCTGTGAGATATTCCCGGTGGCAGATGGGGAAACTGAGGCTCCTAGGGGCAGAGTTTGTCCTGGATAAGCAAAAGCAAAGCCCTGTGCTTGGTCTTACACCTCACATTGGAACTTAGCAGAGTGTGGAGCTGGGTCCCCCAAGTCAGAGGCCACAGTCTTGGGTGGGGTCTTTGCCATGCTGCCAGGCCTTAGTATTCTCAACTGGACCAAGGGGCATAGTCAGCATGGAGCACAGGCTCCTATCACCCTGGGCATCCAGGGATGGGATACTCAGTGACATTTGCTGACCAGAGCTCTGCCCTTCTCTGCAGTGGGTGAGCCCATCACCGTCCCCAAGCTGGAGTACCCGACCCAGAAGGACATCGACATGTACCACGCCATGTACATGGAGGCCCTGGTGAAGCTCTTTGACAATCACAAGACCAAATTCGGCCTTCCGGAGACGGAGGTGCTGGAGGTGAACTGACCCAGCCCGTGGGGTCCAGCTCCAGAAAGGAGCGACTGCGAATCCTTTTCTACCAAGTTCTCAAGTGCATTTTGCTCTGTAAATTTGGAAGCGTCATGGGTGTCTGTGGGTTATTTAAAAGAAATTATAATTTGTTAAACCATTGCCATGTTAGATCTTTTGTAAGAAGGGGTGAGTCAGTATTTTAAATTCTCACTTCTAGTAATGCCCTGCACAAGGTGGTGGCTGACATTTCTGGGCCTTGATGGTTTCTTATCCACCCCCTCTAGGGTTCCCCAAACAACAGACACCTGGCCCTGCTGAACTGGGGAAGGACAATCCTTATGACTTGGCCACTTAGATAATACTCTTTGCTCCAGGGATTCTCAAGATGCAGAGGCCGTGTTTAGCAAACATCTCCATTCCCACCACCCCACATGTGACTGAAGGTCTGGTTCTTCTTGCCAAGGGGAGGATGCAGAGAACAGAGTTGGCCCCCTTTGGGGAAGGTGGCAGATAGCATCTGGAGTCTCCTCTCTGCTACTCACCCTACCCCTTTTCTCCAATCTGAGCCTATGCTGGCCTCCTGTATACTGTGCTAGGGACAAGGATGTCCCACAGGTACTGTCTTGGGTTATCTCGCTGCTGTTGGCTGGTTTTACTCTGAAGGCTGGCACCGTAGATTCAGCACAGCTCAGCCGTGGCTTGGAACATGTTCTCTAAGCCGCCTGAGCTCTCCTGAGCCACACCCCAAGTCTGGTGTGAGGAAGGGTCTCTCTTCTATTCAAAAAGGGGCCTGGCTTTCGGTGTAGCACACTGGGTCCAGGGCAGGAGGCCCCGTACCCAAGCCTCGCATGTGTGCCTTCCTGAGGCATTGGGCCAGGGAAGAGAGCCACCCCCCTCCTGTGTATTCTGTTTTCTTTCCATGAGATTGTTGTGCCATGTCACACTTTTGTATATTCCTAGACTAATAAACGGAAACAAGAACTACCTGTGAGTCGTTGTTCAATTCTTCACTTACACACTATCTGTCCTACTGCACAGGGCACATTGCAGTGCCCACTGCACTTACACAATATCTGTCCTACTGCACAGGGCACACTGCAGTGCCCACTGCACTTACACAATATCTGTCCTACTGTACAGGGCACACTGCAGTTCCCACTTTCTGCGGATTCCATTAGACTTGGGCCTTTACTGACTGTGTAACAACTGGGTTCAAAATCAAATGACTAGAGCTCTGGAGAATGGCTCAATGGTTAAGGGCCTTGGCTGCTTAGGCCTTTGTTGGATGCTTACAACTGTAACTCCTGTCTTAGGAGAATTGTGGGCCTAAGGCACACAAGCTGTGTAACAGACACACGTAAGCAAAATACCCATACATATAATTTTTTTGAAAGAGAAAATAGTAATGACTTCAAGCATTTGCCCCCATCGTCCTAAAGCAGACACTGGGCCCTCTGATTACCATCCCTGCCAAGGCCACAGTCCAGGTCTTGGTAGTGTTGGCCAGGGCTAAAAACATCTCAGTCTGATGAAGAGATCCACTTTCCTTGTTCATGTGGGTGATGGCAAGACCCCCCCCCCACTGACTTGACAGAAGACCATTCACAGATCCGACCCCCCGCACACCTGACTTGACAGAAGACCATTCACAGATCCTTGTCCTGTACATCTTTCCACAGGTATACTCACTGCTCAGGCGTAGCGGTAAGAGGAGCCAGTGTGCAGAGAACAATATAAGCCACAACTCTGTCACAAAGAATGATGTCCTAGTTTCACTTTCATTGGAGGTGAGGAGGAGGGGAAAGCCGAGAGGCAAGGCCCAGGTAGCCTCCTTGCACATTACCACTGTTTGTGATCATGTTCTAGAACAGCAGAGCTGGAAGGGTCTTCACGAACTCTTCAGACAGTTCCCTGTGCTTACTCTCAGCTAAGCTACAAAGGTGGAAATCAGGCCTGATGTCACCTCTGTGGTTACAGGTCTCAGAATAGGCAACCTTGTTCCTTCAGTTGGGGGCTTCTCAGCAGCCAGAGATCCTGCCGTTAGACCACAGACCTCATTCCCACCTCCTGACTGCTCATTTGCCATCCCCCAGCCTCAGGGCATCCCCTCTGCCCGAAGGCCTGGTGGGCTGCAGAGGACCCTGTAGCCCAACCTGGAGTCCTTGAAAATGCAGTGGCTAAGCTGGGCCTCAGCAGAGGTTTGCGGGGGGGGGGGGGGGGGGGAGCAGGCCGAGCAGCCAGCACAAAGATGGGGCGACCCTGCCCTGTTCTGTTGCTTTTCAGGATCCAGGGGTTGTGAACAGGCAGGTCATTTCTACAGTTTCCAGATGGCAGGGAGGCCGGGCGGTGGTGGCGCACGCCTTTAATCCCAGCACTCGGGAGGCAGAGGCAGGCAGATCTCTGTGGGTTCGAGACCAGCCTGGTCTACAAGAGTTAGTTCCAGGACAGGCTCCAAAACCACAGAAACCCTGTCTCAAAAAACTAACTAACTAACTAACTAAATAAATAAATAAATAAAACAGATGGCAGGGAGGACAGAGGAAGCCCCTGCTGACTTCTGTTATACCAGACAGTCCTCAAGAACATGAAAGCTCGGGCCAGAAGCCAGCCATTTCCTTCTGGTGGTGGCAAGGCCTATTTTCTGGTGAGAGCCTCAGGCCCACGCCAAATTTCTAGTACCAGTCCCGGTGTGCAGCCAACCCGACAAGAGATATAAAAGCCTCTGGCTCCAGGCTAAGCCCTGGCTGTAACCTCGGCCACCCCAGAACATTCCTAAGGATTACATTTCCTATTAGTGAGTGTTACTGTATACTAGGAAACTCAGCTACCTCGGTGTGGATAAAGGGTTTCCTTGCCCAGGATCATCTATCTAACAACACTGTGTCCAGAGCTGAGCCAGCCTCATCTTCAGCTAGAGCTGGGGGACCCTGGGTGAATGTTGGGAAGGTTTGCCTTAGCCTACTGAGGAGTGTCATTTCCGCGATTCTTCCCGTGGCCACAAGGCGGCGCTGACGTTGGTTCCAATGCAAAGATAGCAAGGCTGACTGCCTTATGTTTTGACGCTCACCTGGCTTCTTCTATTCTAAGCTAGCAGCTACAGATAAATGGAGTAGGAGGACTCGACAGAAACTTAGCCACTATCTGGAATATATTACTGGGAAAGTTGGTGGAGAGGGGTCAAGGGATCTCTATCACACAGCCAATCAGCATTCACTGCCTGTTTCCTCTTCCTTCAGAGATGGAGCGACCACTCTTGGTTTCTAGGCACTTGAAACATTACCATTGGGGGCAAATCACCCATATTTCAAAAAGGCGCCCCCCCCCAATTTTCCCACAGTCCTGAAAATTATTTCCTACTTCACTCCTAATATCGTAGACTACTGAGGTTGGGCTGCATCCACCTAAGACCTGGTAGACACCATCAGCACCACCCTGTCACGTGACTTACAGGGTCTCAGCTTCTGCACCTTTATATGCATTTATCTGTACTCCTGAGTAACGCAATACTGAGAGAGCTGACAGACAGCTGAAAATGGTCACCCTGGGGCTCAGCCCATGGGCCCTATCCAGAAAACGGTAGCTGTGATGGTGTTAATTCTGCCTTTGAAGCACAGCAACGACCATAGGCAGCCGATGTATGGGAGCATGTCGGAAAATGAAAAGAAACCCAGGGTATTAAGTAGAATGTAGAGTTTGTAATACATGTAATACATGGTGGTAGCACATGCTTTTAATCCCAGCACTCGGGAGGCAGAGGCAGGCAGATCTCTGTGAGTTCAAGGCCTGCCTGATCTACAAAGCAAGTTCTAGGGCTGTTATACAGAGAAACTCTATCTTGAAAAACAAAGAACTGACTCCCCCTTCTTTCACTTCTCCTCAGTGCTGAGTGCTTCCCATCCACTGCACCTGGCCCCCCTTTGGTTCTGTGGTCCGTGCCCCTTCTTCAAGCCAGTGCTCCCCATTCCTTTAGTCTCTACCCTTCCCCTTGCTCTCTCCAGCCTTTGTACAACCGACACCTCTGTGCCCTTCAGGCCTCACCGCCAAGGCCATTCCTAAGGAATATTTTCTCTGGACACCTCTTGCTAGATCTGCACTGGGCTTTCTACATGCCTGCAGTGTGGTATTTGTTGCCTGCCTGGCTTGCCACATGTCCCCAAGCTCCTGGGCACACGCCAGCACGTTTATGACCATGGAACTGCAGGAGCTAGCCCGAGTCTCTGCTCGGGTCTGCTCTCTGTGTGACAGGTTTATTTCCTCTCTCTGGTCTGTTCCATTTGGGGGAGACATGGAGGTGTTACAGTTTAGATCTGTAACCCCAGAGGCCCACGCGTTGAGGGCAGCTCATTAGGGTTTTTTTGAGAGGTGGTCAGGAGGCAGGACCTAGTGAGGGAAGTTAGCCCACTGAAGATACACTCTTGACGCAGATTTGGTTACCCTGTCCTTTCTCAGTTCCCTTTCTTTGTGTCTTGACTGTCGCGCAGAGAACAGGCTTCCTCTGCCACACACACCTGTCTTGATGCACTGTGGCTGCTATGGACCCAAAGCAATGGGGCTGAAACGGGGAAAAATAACCCCTGCCTTGTGTTGAATTGGCTGTCTTCAGGTGTTCTGACATAATGAGTCACTAACGCACAAGCACGAGGCCCCTGCGTGAACCCAACACTTAAGCCTCCGTCCATAGCTAACGCACGAGGCCCTGCGTGAACTCAACACTCAAGCCTCCATCTATAGCTAACGCACGAGGCCCCTGCGTGAACCCAACACTCAAGCCTCCATCCATAGTTAATGTATGGGGCCCTCGCGTGATCCCAACAGTCAAGCCTCCATCCATAGCTAACGCACGAGGCCCAGCATGAACTCAACACTCAAGCCTCCATCCATAGCTAACGCACGAGGCCCTTGCATGAACCCAACACTCAGCCTCCATCCATAGCTAATGCACGAGGCCCCTGCGTGATCCCAACACCCAAGCCTCCATCCATTCACTCGCTGGCTTCATTTCGTCATCTCAATGATGCTCGTGAAGCCTCCATCATGTCTGGGTGCTGGGGACTCAGAGAGGAAACCCAGAGCGAAGGTGACTAACTCACCCTACCCAGCATAGCTGGACACATGGATAAACCTGTAAAGACATGCCAGGCAGCCATGAGGGCGTGCAGAGGAGGTGATACATTTAATTTGACTGAGTTTGGGTTGAGTGAGAATGGCCTCCATAGGCTCATACATCTGAATATTTGGTCCCCAGCTGTTGGAACTGTATGGGAAGGAACAGGAAGTGTGACTTTGCTGGAGGAGGTGCGTCACTAGGGGCAGGCTTTGAGGTTTGGAAAGACCGCATCCCTGCTCTTTCTCTCTCTGACTCTGGTTGTGAATCAAGACATGAGCTCTCAGCTGTACCTTGCTCTGCCACCATGGACTCGAACCCTTTGAACCCATAAGCCCTATTCAATGCTTTCCTTGGTAAGTTGCTTTGGTCGGGGTGTTTTATCACAGTGATAGAAGGGTAACTAAGACACCAAGCTTTCAAACGGTTCCCCTCTGGCCTCCGAAGAGTCAGTCACGTTGTTACCCCCTGATCTTTAACTTTCCTGCCCTGGCAGGTAGGCTGGACTTGGCCACTTAGATCAGCGGTTCTCAACCTCTGGGTCGTGACCCCTTCCCCCGGGGTCGCATACAGGATATCCACATTATGATTCACAACACTGGCAAAATTGCAGCTATGAAGTCAAAGTGAAAATCATTTTTACGGTTGGGGGTCCGCCACGACATGAGGAACTGTAGTAAGGGGTCACCACATTGGGAAGATTGAGAACCACTGACTTGGCTGCATGTTTCCCTGGTAAACACACACAGGGCTGTATAAATACCACGATAATTCCAAACAATTTGAACGATTTTTTCATGTTGAAATGGTCACATTGCAAAGTTCCAAAGAAGACAAAGTGTTTCAGGATAAAACGGCATATATGAAAATAATTACCGGA